AAACAAAGATAAACCCTTTTTTTTTTTTTTACTAAATTAATGGGCTTTGTAAATTTATATATATATATATATATATATATATAGTCCATAGCACTCCCTAAGCATGAGTCTTTCAGAGCATACCCATCACAGTCTCCCACAACAGTGATGGACATAACATCCGCTTAAGAAATGGTTCCCTAGAGGCACCTGGGTGGCACAGCCAGTTAAGCCTCTATCTCTTGGTTTTGGCTCAGGTCCTGATCTCAGAGTCATGAGATCAAGCCCTGCATCGGGCTCTGTGCTCATCATGGAATCTGCTTGAGATTCTCACTCCTTCTCCCTCTGCCCCTCCTGCTCTCTCTTACTCTCTAAAATAAGTAAATAATTCTTTAAAATTAAAAAAAAAGAAAAAAATGATTTTCTGACATTTACCCCACTGTCTTTATCAGGGAGAAATCTGAGTCCAGACTGAATTACATTTCTTAATATCCCGAAGTATGAAATCTTCACCAGGATACACTGAAATACCAGGTTCTTTGTTATTATTCTTTTATTGAAATACATTCAGTTCTTCTTTTTCACTGCAGTTCTCTCACTTTATTTAAATTTTTATAGAAACTGTTTTCCAAAACTACGAGTCACTAAGAAAATTATTCAATAATTAGAATATTTTATTTTATATCCCATACCCTGCACGGTCTCTGGCCCCCAAGATTCTCCAACTTTCTTATCTTTTTTTTTTCTCAGAAAGGTACATATTATTTTATTGTATGAAAATATTTACAAATATTTGACACCTTTGAAAGTGTCTGTTAGATAAAAAAAGACACATCTATATTCAGTCTAGTTATATTTTATTGGACTTTGTGATATTGTCTAATCACAATTCTTAATAATAGAGAAAGAAATGAGGAGATAGATGACCTCTAATAACAAAATCCTTACTTTTTTTCTACCACTATGTGAAAACTATTTTCTCTTGCACATTATTATTTAAGGGTGTGCAATTTGGTTTTTTGATCTTCATCATTTCTGATCTCAGAAAAGCATCCTATTTGCCTCTAATTCTTGCTTCTGTTCCATTTTTGTGGTGGGCTCTATGCTTTCTCTTCAGAGTTTTCATCTTCTCTCTCATCAAGTTCATCTCTTGACCTATTGCATGGCATTCTAGATTGTCTTTGGTTTGCTGATCCATCACTAATTTTATTTTCTACAATGTCATTTAGGTTCTTTGCCACTTTCAATGCATATTTTATGCTATTGAGTTCTTATCTTACTTGAATGAATAATGCATGTATAAGATGCAAAATTGAAAAGGAAAAGTCAAACTGTGAAAAGTATCTCCCTTCCAACATTGCCCCTGAGGCATTCCTCTCCACAAAAGTAAACACTGCTACCAATTTCACAGAATCCTTTGAGAAATAATCTAGACACGCACACACACACACCCCTATCAACATATCTATTCCTTAACATGTTTTTAGTGACCAATCCCTATACTGTTGGGAATAGTAATATGTCTGGACAAATAAGTACATTTCCCAACCTCTTCACGCCTCGTGTTACCATTTTGACATTTATTGGTGAAAAAAAAAAAAAGAAGAAGATAAAAAGATACATAGCCCAACTCAAAGCAGCCTATGAGGAAACTGATAGTTTCCTCATAAGTTCAAGGCATGGAACTAAGAGTTTCCAATGACAGCATGGCAACTTCCAGGCTGGTTGATTCAGCAGCTCACACAATCATCAAGAACCCAGATTCCTGGGGCACCTGGGTGGCTCGGTGGGTTAAGCCTCTGCCTTCGGCTCAGGTCATGATCTCAGGGTCTTGGGATTGAGCCCCACGTCGGGCTCTCTGCTCAGTGGGGAGCCTGCTTCCCCCTCTCCCTCTCTGCCTGCCTCTCTGCCTACTTGGGATCTCTGTCTGTCAAATAAATACATAAGATCTTTAAAAAAAAAAAAAACAGATTCCTTCCATCATTTTGTTGTGCCATCCCCAGCATATCACCTTGCTAATCTGTGTCTTCATGGTCCCAGGATGGCTGCAGGATTTCCAAACACTGTACCAGAAACAATAACTTCTAGAAGCAGAAAAGTGGTTATCTTTTCCTTGTGTCTTTTATGAAGAACTAGAAAATAATTCCCAGAAGATTCCGGAAGACATCCTCTTGCTCCCATTTAACAGAATTTCATCCCTTGCCGATGCCTAAACCAAACATTGGGTCTAAAAACAGGATTTCCGGGATGGCTTTACCCAATTAGGACCCATTTCCTAAGACTAGGGAAGGAACACGCACAAGGCTTGAGGATAGATAGCTAAACCACCAAAAAAAAGCTCTATCAGGAAGGAAGAATGGCAGGGAGGCACAATGAAGGATGGATGTTGGGTGAGCAGTCAACTATGTCTACATCACACATTCTTTATCATCTCAGTTAGCGTCTGTCTTTTACCAGCTCCAACATCCCCAGTTCAACAACTTCCTGGGTCTCCTTTTTGGTGATGCAAATAACCACCTCTCCCTGCCCTTCCAAACACACCCACTGTGTCCTCCCACTCCATAATAAGCACTCCTACACTGTGAAACTCCTCTCAGGAGCATTCCACTCCCCTTGAGAGCATTCCACTCCCCTCCTGCTTAACAAATCTAGCATCCCTTAGAACAAGCTTTCCCCAAGGCCCTCTCTAGTAGTTCCCTGCTTCATCTCTAACACCCCCAGCATCTCAGGATTGGGTAATCGCTATGGACTGAAGATGTGTGTGGCCCACCATCAAATTCCTATGTTCGAATCCTAATTCCCAATGGGATGGTATTAGGAGGTGGTAATTAGGTGATGAAGGTAGAGCCCTTGTGAATGGGATTAGCACCCTTAAGAGAAAAAATAAGAGGGAGCTTCCTTCCCCTCCCCCCTCTCTAGTAGGAGGATAGGACAAGAAGATGACCATCTGCAGACTAGAAAGGGGTCTCTCAGCAGACACCAGATCTGTCAGCACCTTGACCTTAGGCTTCGCAGCCTCCAGAAGTGTGATAAATAAATATTTGTTGTTTAAGCTACCCAGTCTATGGTAATTTATTGTAGCCCAAACTGACGAAGACAGCTATCCTCCTCCTAGTGTTTCCTGATTCTGCTCTCCCCACTAGGTAGTTGAAACTCCAGATCCTCTGAGAACCTGGGTCAAATGGTTTTGTCACCCCTCCCTGTTCCCCACTGCTGCCATCCATCTACCTCCTAGTCATTCCTCTCATTTGCTAATAATCATAACACCTATTGACAGCATTCCTCCATGTCTATTTCTCCTGAATTTAGCATCCGCATGTCTATTCCCACTCAAAACCCTACTCTTCGTGGTGACACTTCCTCTCCCTTACTCTTCTTCAACCAACTATTTCTAAGGTCACATTCTGGACCTGGGCATCACACAGGTAATTTCGGACAGCTACCTATTTTTTTTAAAAGCTCTTTCCCTGACAATACCCAGGAAAATTCACATTTAATTTAATTTAATTTAATTTAATTTAATTTATGTGTTAAGTTAGCACATAACTTCTTTGTTGTAGCTTTCTCACTGCTAGGAATCTATCCCAATAGAGCAAAAATATAACAAAATGTTAAAATGCTAGCAAAAATATAACAAGATGTAGGAATAAAGCTAGTCATAAAGCAGCATTATTTGTAATAGTGAAAGACCAGAAACAAGCTAAATATACAACAGGGGCATGGCTAAATGAATTACAGTCTATCTGTACAATGGGGTGCTATGTCCCTATAAAATGCAACAAGGAAGACCTGCATCTCCGATAAAAAAGTGATCTTTGAAATATTTTATGTTAAGAAAAAGAAGAAGAAGAAGCAAGGTACAAGATAATGTGCATTGTTTGCTGTGTGTGTATAAGAAAGGAAAGAAAGTATCACTGGTGGTAGTTGTGTGTGTGTGTGTGTGTGTGTGTGTTTATCCAAAATGAAGGTATCTTAGTTCAGGCTCTTCTAACAAAATCATCCACTGGATGGCTTAAGCAACAAGCATTTATTCTTCATAGTTCTGGAGGCTGGGAAAGTCCAAAGTCAAGGTGCTGGTAGATCCAGCCTGTAGTGAGAACCACTTTCTGGCCTGTAGACAGCTCCCGTCTTGCTATGTCCTCACATGGAAGGGAGAAGGAGGAAGCAAGACCTCTCTTATCTCTTGTTATGAGGGCACTAATCTCATCATTAGAGCCCTACCTCATGACCTAATTACCTCCCAAAGGCCCGTCTTCAATTATTATCCCATTGCATTCATGTTAACCTATGAATTTTGGAGTAACCAAACATTCCATTCATCACAGAAGGTAAGCCAAAAACTAATCTTTAAAATGGTTAGCAATAAGGGGAAAGAAAGAATTTGAGAGGCGGAATGCAATTTTGGAATCATGTAATGTTTCATATAATTTTTTTTAAAAGGGGGGCGCCTGAGTGGTTCAATCAGTTAAGCCTCCAACTCTTGACTTCAGCTCAGGTCATTTCAGGGTCATGTGATTGAGCTAACTATCAGGCTCTGGGCTCAGCAGGGAGTCTGTCTGAGTTTCTTTCTCTCCCTCTGCCACTTCCCCTGCTTGCTCTCTCTCTCTCACTTTCTCTCAAATGAAAGATTAAAAAAAAAAAACTTAAAAAATAAGTTAATTCAAAAAGGAAAAAAAGCATCTCTAAACGTAAAAAAGAAGCTTCAACAAATGACCTTATTGTATATGAGGTTGGCAGAACAACCATATAGAAAATAAATATTTCCAATGACTTAGAAACCTAGTATTTTGACCATGTGACCCTAGTGAGTGATATTCTAAAGTGATATTCAAGAAATCTTGAACTGCACACTGTAGTCTCATTGTTGACAATAAAGTTGGAGTATTGGTTTCTTATTGCTCAAGGTAACAAATGACCACAAATTTAGTAGTCTAATACAATACAAATTTCTCACCTTATAATTGTACCTCTGGACACAATTCCTCTCCTCCACCTGTGAGCCTATGAAACCTAAGCAGCAAGTTGTCTGTTCCTAAAGTATAATGCAAAGACAGGCATAAGATAACAATTAGACATTTGGTTCAAAGAAGATGAAAATGGAAGAGGGAAAAAAAAAAAAGAGTCACATGTCCCAAGTAATTTCAAAATCCAGCCAGAAAAACTCCATTTGGTTCCATGGTCTGGGAATAATCCTCTCTCGTTTGTGGTTCCACCCTTTAGAGTCATCTTTTATTTATTTTAAGAAAAATAGCACATGTTTGCAGTTTAGTAGTTTTATCAACTTGTTTCTTGCCTGTAGAATTTGAGGGATAGGGGTGTTGGTGTCCAGCAGTCTTCTTTCATTTTGTCCTTTCTCTGTACCTTTCAGTCCAAGTTGGCTGTATTTCTGCTGAAATACATTGCAAGAGCCTTGTGGATCTCCTGGGTCTACCTCAGGGATTTGCTCCATTACACAAGATGCTCCCCTACCGAAATTTCCTGGATAATCCCATCTCTATTTCTGGCTTCTGCTGAGGCAGTTGAGGGGTCCATGAATCACACACCTTCACGGAGCCCCCCGTATGACTGGGGAGTCTGAACAATGGCTCCTCCAAGGCACTCACAACAGGTTGTCCGTCCACACCCTTCAATTTCTTCCCAGACTATGTTTCCTGGTGGTGACTCTCCTCATTTTAGCTTCTTTTGCAATCTGGGTAAACTGAAAATTGCGCAAACTATCAAGCTCTGGTTCCTTTTTGCTTAATCCTTTCTCAACCTAGCTCTTTCCTCTTACATCTCACTATAAGAAGCAAGAAGAAACCACACCACATGTTGAACCCCCTGCTTGGAAATCTCAGCTAAGTATCTAAATGCCGGGATGCCTGGGCAACTCAGTTGGTTAAGCTACTGCCTTTGGCTCAGGTCATGACCTCAGGGTCCTGGGATTGAGCCCCACATCGGGCTCCCTGTTCAGCTGGGACCCCGCTTCTCCTTCTTCCTCTGCTGCTCCCCTTGCTTGTGCTTTCTGGCTCTCTCTATCCTTCTGATAAATAAATAAACAAAATCTTTTTTTTTAAGGTAAATATCTAAATTCGTCACTTACAAGTTTCGCTTTCCACATAACTGCACAACCCAATTCAGTGCTTTCAGCTGATTCCCTTTCCACTAGCTACCAAGAATACGTCTCTCATTTCCATCTGAGCCTTGCCGACAGCTCTTTTAATATCCATGTTTCTATCGGCGGTCTGCTCAGGACGGTTCAGGTACCCTCTGAGATAATTACCCTGCTTCTCACTTCCTTCTGAGTCAGCACTAACAGAGTCAATCACATCCATATTTCTATTAACAACTTATTCAGGGCGATTTACTTTTTTTTTCTTTTCTTATCATGCTCTAAAAATTCTCCCAGCTGCCAGCCTTCTTCATCCATATTTTTAGGTATTCGTTTCAATAGCACTTTGTGTCCAGGCACCAAAATCTGTATGAGCTTCCTAGCACTGCTATAATAAATTATCATGGCCCCAAACAGCAAATTTATTGGCTCACCGTTCTAGAGTTTAGAAGTCTGACAGGGCTGCTTTCCTTTCTGGAGGTTCTAGCAAAAACCTATTGTCTTGCATTTTCCATCTTCTAGATGCTTCCCCCATCCCTTGACTCATGATGCACTCTGTCTTCAGTGCTAGCAATGGCCAGTCTAATCTTTCTCCTGAGGTATTCTCCGGTTTGGATTCTTCTGCCTCCCTCCTCATCATTTAAGGACTCTTGGGACTCCCTTGGGCCCACCTGCAAAACCCAAAGTACTCTGCTTGTTTTAAGGTCACCTGACTAGTAAACAAGTCTACCTGCAACCTTAATTTCTCTTGCCATGAAACATAACAAATTCAGTTTCTAGGGATTGGGACATAGACATCTTTGGGGAGTCAGGGATGGATTATTCTGCCTCTCAGAGTCAGTATTGTTATTTTGAAATAGACACACATCTACAGATAGACACACCTACATATACGTACAAAGATAAAACAAATAAGTACTTCCTATAAAGTTAAAAGGAATCAAACTGATTTTCAGCATATGATAAAAGAGGTATAAATATAAAATCTAAGTAAAAACCCTGTGTGGCCAATAAGCATATGAAAAAAAAATGATCAACATCAACATCAGAGAAATGCCAATCAAAACCACAATGAGGTAATCACATTACACCTATTAGGATGGCTACTATTTAAAAGAATGAAAAGTGGGGCTCCTGGGTGGCTCAGTAGGTTAAGCGTCTGCCTTCAGCTAAGGTCATCATCTCAGGCTGCTGGGATTGAGGCTCACATCAGGTTCCCTACTCAGTGAGTTTCTCCCTCTGCCTCTCTACCCCCGTCATGTGTTCTTGCATTCTCTCTCTCAAATAAATAAATAAAATCTTTTTAAAAATTTTTTAAAAAGAAGGAAATCCTGTCACATGCTAGAAAATGGGTGAATCTTGAGGACATGTTAAGTGAAATGAGGACATTGTATTAAGTGAAATGAAGCAGTCATAAAAAGACAAATACAGAATGATTCCTCTTATATGCAGTATCTGAAGTAGTCAACTCATAAAAAGTAGAATGGTGGTTACCAGGATCTGGGGCAAAGGGGAATGGGTAGCTGTGATCTAATGGTTACAGAGTTTCAGATTTGCAAGGTAAAAAAAGCTCCGGATCTCTGTTTCACAACATCATAAATGTACTTATCAGTCCTGAACTATACACTTAAATGGGTAAGATGATCAATTTCATGTTAGGTTCAATAAAGTTTATGTTATCTGTAAATATTATCACCATAAAAAGAAAGAAAGCAAAAGAATCGAGTTTCTATTCTTTTTCCTTGCAAAGTGTATTTCAGAATAACCCAATAATTGATGGAAGTTCTTCATAGAGGAATCACAGCTCATAAATGCAGAAGGAATGACAGATTTCAAAAAATCACAATTTCACAACCCCAGAAGAAATAACGAGTGGAGGCCACAAATGACTACATAAATCTTCAGGTGAAGTTTGTGGGGAAACTTTGTAACCAACAGACCAAGCTGACAACTCCTGAATCCATAGTTTATTTTTAACATCCGAAGAATGGGACAACAAGCTATGACACAGTCCCCACTGTGATGCAGTAGGAAGCATACAACACAACCTGTGAAGTATCTAATGCAACCTATAATGTACACTTGCTGAAGAAAAAAAGAGAAAAGCACAGAAAACAGAAATGCAGAAAAAGAACATCAAAAAATGCCTAGATGAGTACATTACAGAGTCACACAAGGATGGACCACCAGCAAAAATGGCAGAGTAAGGAGCTCTGAAAATTCTCTCCTCTATAAAAGCAGAATCATCAGAATCAACGTTTTTCAGAACTCTGCAAATTCACCTGAGTTTATTATTAACAGAGCATGTATTCAAAGAAAGCCAGCAGAATCTCATTAGGAACAGTGAGCTGTGTGGCCAAGTAACTTGCCCTCATCCCATCCCCCACTCTCTGGCTCCAAATAGTCTTTAAAAAATAACAGCCCGCACTTGCTGTGGTAAGTAGCAACCTGGCAGCCTTCGGAAAGAAAGAACAGGGCGGAGCCCTTTCAAAGCCACAGTCCTAAAGAATTATCATTATCTGACCTGTCTGGTTAATTTTGGAAGATCCCACTTACCAGGCTATCTCTCTTTGACCTGACTGTGCTTTTCCAGAGGAAAGAAAGAGTGAAAAGCTTTTTTCCCCTGGGGGCACATTGAAAACAATTAAAAGCAAATGTTTAACTTCCACACTACCTAGGGTGGTGGCTAACAGTTGGAGCAGTATTAGGTTAACCAAAAAAACATAAAGTGAGACGTTGGGAATGAGATATCCATAGGTACCTGCAAAATCTCTGACATATTCCTGGGGGTCTGGAAGATTCCCTAGGTTTATAAGGCTGGGCAAGAGTTCAGGAAAGTCCTGAGAAGGCCCTAAGCTCTCACCTTTGACTCACTCTAAGGATCTACACACCCAAGTGAAAGCTAAGGAAGGGGTGTCAACAATCTGGTTGAGTGCTGGAAATGGGCACCAAGATGTACCCAGAGTCCCCTGACAAAGACTGTAAGACTCAACATCTCCAGGCTAACACTCGTCGTCTCCAGACATTTAAAACGCTCTGTCCAATCACTGGCTGACCACTTAACCTAAGCACACAGAGACTCCAGTGGCCACACACAATCATGAATACAGACTTTCCCCAATTCGTTCAGAAAGGTCATTAAGCAAACAACAGAATCTATGACAAACAGCGACAAAAACCGACACGGAGGATGGGAACAGAATTCAATTTCCAGACCTGCCATATTGTATTAATTTAAAAGTACAGCTTTCAACAAAAACACTATGAGAGGCGCAAAGAAATGAGAAAGTTGGACCCATCCACAGGAAAAGAGGTAATCAATGGCAACTGCCCCAGAGGAACCCCAGCTGATGAACTTACCAGAAAAGACTTTAAATCCATGTCTTTAAACAGTGAAATGCTGTTCAGCCATAAAAGGAGTGAAGTACTGAAACACAGCAAAACACAGATGGACCTTCAAAGTACTATGTGAAGTGAAAGAAGCCAATCCATGATGTCATTTTAATGAAATGTTCAGAATAGGCAAAATCTATAGAGATATAAGGTAGATGGGGGACACCTGGGTGGTTCAGTTAGTTATGCATCTGACTCGTCATTTCTGCTCAGGTCATGATCTCAGGGTCCTGGGGACTGAGCCCTGTGGCAGGCTCTGTGCTCAGCGGGGAGTCTGCTTGAGGGTTCTCTCCCTCTGCTCCTCTCCTCTCTCTCAAATAAATAAATAAATCTTTAAAAAAGAAAGAAAGAAAGAAAGAAAGAAAAAAGAAGTAAATGAGTGATTGCCCAGGCTGGGGGAGGGTAGGTGCAGGGGAATGGGAGTGACTATCTATGAGTAGGGGGGTTTTCAAGTCAAAGAGTGGCCTCTACCTTGGATGGTCAGTGGGTCAGTTATGACAAATTATCCAAGCCCAGAGTGGGAATCCAAGGGTAAACAGAACAGATACGCCCCTGCCCTCAGGCAGCCCAGCCTCAAGTCTAGTGAAAGAAGCAACCGTGAATCATGTCATCAGCCCGGGGTCGGGTGGGCGGGCCCTAAGGAGCAGTGACAATCCTGCAGGAGCTCCTGACCAAGAGGCCACACAAGGACCAGGTAGTTGGGAGGTCCAGATGCCCAATGGCAGCCTCCCATGGGACAGGAGTAGGGGGTCCCACTATTTCCTCATATGGGTGATGGTTACATAAGTGTGTTCACTTTATGAAAATTCAGCAAGCCATTTACCCATGGTAAGTTCTCTCCCCATACATCATGCTTTAGTAAAAAGTTTCCTGGAAAATTCTCCGTTGATTCAAATATTCTGCTGGAATTAAATGTAGACACCTTTCTGCCTCTCTCTGTATCCCCCCACTTCCTCTGTGGCTGTCGCTCATGTCCTCAGTCCTCATTCTCTGTGCTCTAAACTCACCAGCCTTCATTTGGTGGCAGGAATGCCATAATTGTCCCGGCCTGAGAATTTTCTACATGGTTTTCCTTTGCCTGAGGTGCATTTGTCTGTTCCTCACAAACTCAGTGTTTCTAAAAATCCAGTCTCAGTCAAAATGGCATCCTCTCAGAGGCACTCGACCTCAATGCTCCATCTATGTGGCCCAGTGCCCTGCGCTGTCCTGACACAGTGCCCTGTGCGTGTTCCTCATTGTACTAGATTCATTGTACTTCCGTGTCTTACTACCTGTCTCCCATGATAGACTACAGTATCCAGGGAAATCCAGGCTGTATCTTATGCAACATTTTACCCCCCTGCCCAGCAAAAGGCTTAATGTATAGTGCACCCTTGTAATAAATATTTGTGAATGAATGAATGGGGAAATGGGAGGCAATGATCAACCCAAGAGTGGAGCCAGGATGCGGCCTTTCAGGCACTGTAGCAAGCCATTCAGTGAGGTTTTGGTGACAAAACAATTCTTGTGTTTTGTGGCCCCCCATTCAGTCACCCTAGATTAGCAATAACTGGACATCAGGAATTAGAGGTACTCCTAGAGCCAATCTTCCAAGGGGAAGGAAACGCATTAAATTGCCCAATGAAAGGAACAAGGCCCCTGTAATTCCCGCCATCTCTGCACCCCTACCCACCTGGGAAATCTGTGATGTCACAGAGTCTTGATTCTTAACACAATGGCACAGGGGCCGCTCTGGCTTGTCAGAGGATGTGACTGTCATAGCGTCTTTGTGTGTAGGTGTGACAATGCTTTCCCCACACAGCGGGGAGAAACTGCAGGCTGTAATTGCGCTCTGGCCCCCTATTATCAAAACCATACCACTTCCTCCCCAACCTTAGAATATACTCCCCTAAAGGTACCAGGTGCAGCTGGGGAAGATCTCTCAATGCCAAAGGAGATGTGTAAAAAGTAGGAAGAGCTTAAATCAGGGCTGGTCAGAGATAAGGCCAGCATCCCTGGGTCAGCCCCACACTGGTAACCTGCTCTCAGAAGGAAGCCATTGGCCCACCCCATCAGTCTGCTCTGACCGGCCACCTGCCCATAGCCTGCCTGGCCTCAGAGGGACCCCCTGATTCCAGAATACAGTCTTGCCCTTCAAAGTACATCTGATTTCATTACCCATACTGTGAACTTGCCGGGGCAAGACACCAATATCTCCTGAGAACCTGAATATACAAATGGATGATGGCCAGACCATAAATGACAATAGAACTCTTACCCACCGTCTGTAACAACCAGTTCAGGAAGCCAAATGCTCAAAGCAATTGGCCTGGTATGGTCAGGAATTGTTCCCATGACTTCCAGCTTCTTGATTTCATGTACCTGTTTCCCACCCAGGGCCCACCAAATAAAGGCAAATGGGCTAACCCCCAATCACACAAGATGCCTGGCTTCTAGTCAGGCTCCCTCCAGGGTCCCCATGCCAACAACCTCCAATCATGGCACACCTGAAGACTTCCTTCCTCTCTGTGCTAGAACATCTTCCACTCCCTGCCTGCCTTTAAGTCCCTGAAAAAGAAATGGTGGCTGACTCCCTTGCTGTAATAAGGCTTTGAATAAACAGCCTCTGTTTGTTCTCATCTAGGAGGTCTTCGCTTCCGTCCACAATTCTCCTGGCGGGTCCAACAAGACATAGTCTGCACTGCACATCCTGCTGACCCCAGCCTTTGGCCAGGGGCATTATTTGCAGACAACATATGAGCCCTCTGTGCCTTGTCACTCGTGACTTGTCAAATCCACTCCAGGGTGGTGAGTCAACACTTAGTCTGAGTTACCCCCCGCTTGGCATTGAGTCCTTAGCTATGTCTTACCAGTTTAGTGCCCAGGTTTTTGACTGGGTCTCCTTTGTTTGCATTCTTGGTGGAATTGGGCCGTTCCTCTCTTTTGTGCTTCCATTTGGTGCTGTTCTGTCAAAACTCTTGGTCACCAGATGGAGAATCACAGGGCAGAACACAGACAGAGGCCCCCTGTAGGTTGTAGGTCAAGCCAGCCTCATAGAGTGGTGAGATTGTGGTTCTCACTGCACCAGAATCCATTCAGACAAACTGCTGTGGATGACCAGTAAAGCTGAATGAGGGTCTCCTTCCATCTCAATACCTTGTCCAGAGAGAGTCTTCTCTCTGGTTTTCCACAGGGAGTGCAAATTGTCAGGTCTGCATTTGGAGACAGCCAACTCTCAGGCTGAGGTCCTACAGACACAAGGTGTCAAAGCATCACCTTTCTACAGACCACGGCCAGCTCCCATGGGGTCTCCAAGTCCTCTCCTTCTCAAGGAAAAACTCCTGCCTCTGACCGATTATTCTCATTAGAATCCAAATCCTTGTGCCTGTCTTTCCAAACGGCCTAACTTCGCCAAGGATCGTTTGGACTTTCAGTGGCCACTCCAGGGAATGCTTGACTTGCACAAAATTGTTCATTTGAGAGACACCTTTAGAAAACAAAAGGAACAAGAGGGATATTTTTATCAGTGTGCTGAGGTCCCCAAAGTAAATTCTGATTTAAAAATTGCTTCACTGGAAGATTCTTCGGCCAAAGCTAAGGAGCAATTTGAAAACTCAAGTAACAGCCAACTAGACTTGTTGCCCTTAATCTTTCTCCTCCTTGTCCTGTGCTTACTTCCCCAGATGCAGCCCTGCCTCTCCCCCCTTACTCTTCCACGGCCCCCCTCCACAGCTCCAGGGACCTCTCCTCCTCCTCCCCAGTCTAGCCCCTATGCTTTCCCCAAAAGCTCCTAAGATCCTTAAATTCCAGTCACCTCTAAAGATTCATGCCTGCCATGAGCCAGGTATGGAGATAACTGTAGAATTAACTAATTAACCAGAACTGAATGGGTAACTATAATTAAAGATGTCCCTAAACCCAGAGAAGACTAGCAACTATTTGTAGAAGAATTAGAATTTGTTTGGGTGCATGGGAGCCTGGGTCACCTGAGCTGTCACCAATTTCACCCACAATGGTCAGACCCTCAGGGCTGAACCCTGGATGACAGGAGCTAATTAAACTGATGTTGTTCTCTCGAACCTAAAGGTCAAAAACAGGGTCCAAAATAGAGCAAGATCCCCTAAAAACCATCCCTGAAACTTTTCTAATAAAAACCCCCTGGGTCACAATTCGATTGTTCAAAGGAAGAAAAGCGAGGCTCTGGGTCCCTGTTGTTTGTGTGGCTGTTTGTGTCTCCAACACTCATCCAGATGTGTGAGTGAAGGTGTTCTGTAGATGTAATGAACATCAACCATCAGTTGGCTTTAAATAGAGGAGATCACCTGTGATATAGGGTGGGTGGGCCTAAAGAGCACAAACCAGGGTTTCCCAAAGAAAAAATTCTGCCTCAAGACTAACATCGAAACCCTCCCTGGGATTCCAGCCTGCGGGCCTGCCTACAGATTTCAGACTCAGGCCTGCAACTTCGACTCTTACCTGAATTTGCAGCTTGTGCTACAGATTTGGACTTTCCACCCCCCACGACCTAGTGGGGAAGACGTCGGCAGGGCCACACTCCTGCCAAAGTCTCGGGGGGAGAAGCCATCTTCATCTCTTCCTGTTTCCGGAAGCTGGTAATCTACGGCAGCTGGTAATCTTTGGCCTTTCTCGGCTTGTGGTCACATCCCTCCATTCTCTGCCTCTGTCTTCATGTCGCTTTCTCCTCTGTGTATGCATGTCCCATCTCCCTCTGGCTCACCCTGATAAGGACATTTATCATTGGGTTTAGGGTCCACCTGGGTAATCCAGGAAGAACTCCTTATCTCAAAGTCCTTACCTTGGTTATATCTGCACAGACTCTTTTCCTGAAGATGGTGACATTCACAGGTTCCAGGCATTAAGATGTGGACATATCCTTTGGGGATTCATTCAACCCGTCTTGGTGGGACCAGATGATTTCAAATGGGTATTAGCTGAACAAGTCATCGATGTTCCTCTGCGATGTAGGTACCGACCCAGAGCGGCCTTCTGCCACGATCAGAGAAGTCACTGGGTCCTGCAGTGTCCAGTGACCACCTTCCTTCAAAGGCCTGAGGCCCTAGACAAGAGCCCAAACCAAAAACTACAAGAACATGTCAGACACATTCCAACACTGGGCCCTTTCTAGTCCCTTTTGGAAGCAGGGGCAGTACCACTGTAATCCAGCTCCTGCTGGTGCCTCCCAGAAACCCTCTTCCTGGGAGAAAGGTGCTCACTCCTGCCGTAAACAGACCAGGCTCCCAGAATGTGTGAAGGTCCTCCTCATCGCCTCTTGCTAAAGGATGGCACCCATCAGTGCCTCTCAGTGACACTCGGGGTATACCGTCCTTCCTGTCTTCATCTGTTGATACACACGTTCATCCACCAACTGAACAAACCCGCTGAGCAACTTCCAGAGCCCAGGCCTGCACTCACGGCTGGGCACAAAGACACAAATATGTCACAGTCACGAAAATCCCAAGAAGGCCGTGATTTCCAGACACCACAGGTAAACAACGAAATTACAAGGCACTGCAGAGGAATAAATCAAAGACAATGGGGGCCCCAACAGGGGAGGGAAGCGGGATTTTTGCAGATACTTAATCCCCAGGTGGGACAGTGATTACCACCATTTTACATTCATGAGGAAATGGAGGGTCCAAGAATCAGTCACTAGCCTACAGAAGAGAGAGAAGGGGAGAATTGGTAGGAACTGGAGGGATAAGGCATGAAGAAGACCAAAGTGGTGAAGGCAGCCTTGCATCCTAATATTTTTCCTGGGACACTTGGGATTTTTTTGTTTGTTTGTTTGTTCCTCCACCTTCTATTCTCCAGGGAATCATTATCAAGGGAAATCCTCCTTTCTTCACTGTCTTCTCCAGAGAATCTTGGCCCAGGAGAAAGGAAATGGAAAATGGCTTTGGGCCATCTTATTTGTGAGCTGGAAGGTTGACATCCCAGCAGGAGTTGTCTCTGCCTCCCTAAGTGGGATTGGAGTCATGCAACCCTGCCTGGCCTCTCAAGCTGATTATAGGCCACTTCCTCTGAGTTGACTGGCCTATTTTAATTCTGTGTTAGGAAATCTCCCTCATTAGCATTTGCCGCTCTGTTTGAGGGTCAGAGAATTTGTCAGGTTAGCAAAGTTTATCCCTGGAATTTTCTCATCTTCCTTTTCATTCCCACAGAATATCCCTACGGATTGACTTCCTCACTCCTTGCATTACCCAATCTCAGGGGCGGAAGGAGGTAGTAAGCTTGTATGTCTCTTGTACTAAGAGGTACAAAGAAAATGTGATGGAATGAGAAATACTGATTCTTGGAGTTCGGAGACCCAGATTATAGGAGTAGACTTCTAGGCAAGGAAGGGGAGAGATTCTCATTGGCACTGGGTGGATTCCACTAGAAAGGGATTGCTAATTCTCCTCAAAGGTTAAAGTAATGCCTGCTAGCTGAGTCTCCACTGCCCACTTCAGTCTCCTTGTGCATCGCCAGAGCTGGAAGAGTTGGGATTGTCACCCTCACCAGCTCATCCCCAAATGGTATTCCCAACTCTCATGGGTTTTTTTTAGCAAGCTGTTCTGGAAGCATGGTGCATGGTGGGCCTGGTCAGAAAAGAGTGCATGAACAGCAATCCCTGGGCCTGGGTGGAGTGTTGGCTGGGGTTCAGCCAATCTACCTGCTCGTTTCACAATCCGTCCATGAGGCATTGCCTGACTAATGCCCAAATCAAGTCTTCCCGGTGCTCTTGCTATTCTGCAGCATGGACAGGCTGGATGGTCATCAAGTCTGTTCCCTTTTCCTGGGCACTTGGCTGAACCACATCTCCCCCTTGCTTCTAAGTGGGAATGTGGACTCGGACAGAGGTGTTGGGTGTGGCTCCTCAAATGTCCACATAATCCCCCACACTCCCTCTCTGTTCATTGGGCAGCGGGATGTTGACAATTTAGAAGAGGTCTCCAGGATCCTGGAGAATTCCCAGGCTCTGGGGAAAAAGGAGAGCCACGCATTGGAAGGAGCGGGGATCCCTGAGTTGCCTCATGATCTGTCCATGAGCTCTGCCAACCAGGGACATCCACACTGGACGTTGAGTAGAAGAGATTTAAAGTTTCATTGTGCTAAGCCGCTGGCGTTGCTTATTACAGCTTTTAACCTACCACAACTAATCTTTGCCCCACTCGGGGACTTTTCCATGCTAGTGTGTCTTCCGATTTTGTCCAATATCCTGCTTCCCAGCTTATTTCCGCTCCCAAAGAACATAAAAAGAAACAAAAGTCTCTCTCTTAGGAGCAGAAGCAAACACAGCTGCAAAGCTAACAGCCATTCCAAGGGTCTGCAGAGCTGTTCGCCAGTCTCTGAGTGGGATATTGTTCTATTGGCGCCCATCCCCAACCTCAACCATCTCCACTGTGATGGGAGATAAAATCACTAGTCTCCAACTCCATTAATTTTAAGCAAAAATTAGCATAAATTGTCAAATCATAACTGGCCTCAAGTCCCCAGCAGCCCCAGTTGATCAGGCTGGGAGGAAAGATTACCAAGTATCTCCTTACAAATGACATCCTTTCCCCCACATACTCCCTGACCCAGGATCACTGAGAGGCACCATTCCTAAACACCAAGCTCTGCTGTCTTGCGGATGAGAGATGGTACCCCCAAGCCTTGACCACAGGAAGTAACTGGGCTAAATGATACAATTAGGGGTATCAGGAAGGTTTAGATTGTTTTAATAGTCATTAGCAAGTTCTAGCTCTCTTCCTAATGCTTAGAGACCGTTTCTGCCATTTGAATGTGAGCTCCAGGAGGGACTTTGCTTTATTCAACATCATATATGTGGTTCCAGTGCCCGGAACTGTTACAAGCATATAGCTGTTGTTTAATTTGTGTTGAACGGACAAATAAAGGTTGGTAGGGTGGGAGGGAACTGAGGGCTGCTGGTTCCCCCCCAAACAGGATACCCATCAGGAACGCCTTCTCTGTCCGCATTCTGTCCCGTTCAGCATTCTGTCTCGGCAAGTGACAACCTCCTGCACCGTCTTCAGGAGAGGGGAGGAGGTTCCAGATCTCCTCCAACCCCTCATGACTTCTTGAAGGAGCTAAAGTCCAGATTTATCAGCCTAGGAGTTAATTTCTCTGTTGGGGGATGAACTCCTCCTTTTTCTCCATGCTCGCTCTAAAGGGGTCTCATAAAGGAGGGGAGAGAAACACAGGTGCTAGGGATCCATCTTAAATCAAGACTTGCCACTGGATTGCAAAGAACTTAAAGACCAGCAGGGTCACCAGGGCTCCCCGGCTATTCATGCCTACTCTCCTGTAGTCAATTCTCAAAGACCCAAGTAAAAGATGGAAGATGGAATGGGGAAACTGAGGGCCTTGGAAGAGCTGTTTCTAAGCTTGGACTCTAAGAGCTTTAGCTTCCGGGCTGGGGAGGCCAGTATAAGACAGGTGTTACCCATCTCTCAACATTTGCACCGTTTTCTGCTTTTTCTCCAAAGAACCTTCCCACCTAGTTCTCTCCAACCTCCTGCCTCGGTCATCCATGGCCAGTGGGTGCCAAGGCTCTGAGTTCTCTCTCCACCTCTTCCCAGACAGCTCTCCAAATGGACCCTCACCTCCCTGGCACAACTCAAGCCTTCCTCATCTAGCACCTACATGGTTCTATTATCTTCCCTGCAATTCCCTTCCCCCTGCTACCCAACATGCCCAGCATGGTGCCCTGGTGAGTAACTTTACGGCAGTCAAATGAGTGATCTCTTTCCGTCTCTTCCTACCCAGTCCCGATAGTTAACAAGAGGCTCCTCAAAGCCAACCCTCCACCTGTGTCCCCCATTCAAACCAGCTCCACACACCCCCTGCCCTCTGTCTTCCCTGTCCAAATCCTGGCCTGCCAAGTCCCACACAGCCAACAAACCCAGTCACTGCTCTCGGGTCTTAACAATGTACTAATTTAATATTCACATCATTAAATAGACACTACTCTTATCTATTCTTATCCTCCTTTTACAAATGAAGAGCTGAGACATGAAGAAGTCAAAGAGCTCCTAGGGTACATAGCCCAGATGTGGAGCCAGACATTCTGCCAACCCCCCACTCTGTAACCATCAGGCCAAGCGCCCTTTCCCACCCTCCAGCACTTCCTCCTTCCCCAGAAGGCCACTTATTTGTGTAACAAGGAAGTTTTATTCCGATATCTGATACGGAGTCAAGTAACAATGCCGAAGTTGGTAGACGTAAACCAGTGGGTGGTGGGCAGGGTCCATGAGAGCCATAACCAAATGGATTCTTGTTCCTTTTCTCATCACAGACCAGCAGTGGCACCTGATCCCTCCCCAGGCTCTCGCCACTCCACCGCACTGGACAGAGGTGTTTGAGACCCTCGCCTGGCCTGTGGCCAGAGAGGAGTAAGGAGGTGCGGCAGATCCCCCCAGGCAGTCCCAGGAGGCGACCGCCGCCGTACTGCGCGCTCCGGTCCGCAGTCCGCAGATCCCGGGTGCT